TCCTTCTTCTAGTCCAAACCCTGCGAGTGAGCAATCTGAAGACGTTTTAAAAGAGAGCGGTTCAAGTTTTCGACCTCTCCATTAGCTTGGGGCCAATAAGGCGGTCATGTCATCAATTCAATATTATTAGTCGCGCAAAAAGTCTTGTATTCTTCGCTCACAAATTGGGGGCCATTATCTGCAGTTATTGACTTGGGATATCCATGCCGGGCAAATATTTCCTCGAGAAAATCAATAATTTCCGTTGACGTTATCTTCTTCATAAATTTTAGTTCGTGAAATCGCGAATAGTAGTCAATAACTACAAATACAAAATCGTGATTTGGCAACGGGCCCAATAAATCCATTGCTACACAAACCCAGGGACTGTCTGGCATGCTTCGTCTATTCAAAGGAGCCGGTGGTATTGGCCGAGATACCAACATACACTCATGACAGCTTTTCACGTATTTCTCTATATCTCTATCGACCAAATGCCACCATATCTTCGAACGAATTCTGCGCTTCATAACGGTTTCGCCTGGATGACCTTCGTGGCCTAGATCTAGTACTCGTTGTCTCAGGTTTGCAGGAATTACAAGTCGCGTACCTCTTAGCAACAAATTTCCTAAAATACTTAGCTCAAATCGAAATGGATAATACCTGTTCTTAGTAGCTGTACTCCAATCCTCGGTCTTTACACATTCCACTGCCAGCAAAAGCTCATCATCTTTGCTATTATTGTGTACAATTTCCAAAATGGTTAAAGCCTGTGGTACTGAATTTTCTATAATAGAACAAATGCTGAATTCACATGGCTTATCAAAAGCTGTATCCAGATTACAGAGTCTGGATAACGAGTCTGCTATGTTATGTTTCCCAGCTTTGTAAATAATTTTGAAGCTAAAGGACTGCAGGCGCAAGACCCAACGCTCGATACGAGCCGGCGGCTTTGATGTTGGCTTAAAAATGGCTTCAAGAGGCTTGTGGTCCGTCTCCAGCTCAAATTGAATCACTGCTAAGTAATAGTAAACTCGCTCGACAGCCCACACCAGAGCCAGGCTTTCTTTCTCAGTCTGCGAATACCTGCGTTCAACTTCAGACAGCGCCTTACTTGCAAAAGACACGCCATACGGAGTGTCTCCAGTAAATTGAATTAGAACCGCTCCCAAAGCCACAGGGCTGGCATCAGCAATTAATTTCGTGCGTCGGTTCGGTGAAAAATAAGCAAGTGTTGGAAGGGCAATTAATTTTTCCTTGAGTTTTAGAAATGCATTGTTTTGTCTAGTGGTCCAAATAAACTTCTCGTTGGCTTTTGTGATCTATCTTAGAGGTTCAACCAAATCACTTAAATCTGGTATAAACTTGCCTAAATATGTAACCAGACCAAGAAAACTACGAGTCTCCTCCCGCGAATTCGGTGCTCGAAAATTCGGCACACTATCGATTTTATCCGGGTCAGCGCTTATACCATTTGTTGACAGGACATGGCCCAAAAATTTTAAATTTTTACCTTCCACAAGCATTTGTCTTCATTTATGGCTACATTGAAGTTTTTAAAGGTGTTAAGGACACCTTGTAAATATTCATCATGTTCCTTTTCAGTTGCGCCGAAGACTATGATATCATCCAAATATTTTAACGCATTCTTACATGGGGCCAAAATACTTTCCATGGTTTTTTGGAATATTTCGGGAGCTGAGTTCACCCCAAATAACAGTCGTTTGTATCTAAATAAGCCTTTCGAAGTTATAAATGTAGTTATATAGCGGCTTTCTTCTCCTAACTCCAATTGATGATAGGCATTTTTAAGGTCAAGCCTCGAAAAGAATTTAGCACCTTGTAGTCCCGTCATAAAACTATCGAAAGTTGGCAATGGATAATTTTCTCTCAAAATTGCTGTATTCGCACGTCTCATATCAATACACAGCCTAATGTCACCATTTTCCTTGAAAATAACGACCACAGAAGATATCCAAGCGCTGGAACCAATAACCGGTTCAATAATATCCAGAGCTAATGCCTCATTAAGTTTCGCCTCGACCCTATCCTCAACCGCAACAGGCACCCGGCGTAATGGTTGTTGGATAGGTCTTACGGTGGTGTCAATAGACAAGTTTACTTTTACTCCAGCAATTTTATTGAAAGGTTGCAATTTCTCAACAGTTTGATGGCCGTATCTTTACCAAGCAACGATTGCTCCCCATGCTCAATGACATAAAAAGTTGACATCACATTCGAGCTACTCCTAATTCCAATAACAGCTTCGAAAACCACTTTTATCGTTAGTGCCGCCTTGCCAGCGTATGCTTTAAATTGATTATCCGATTCAAACCGAATATTCCACATGACTGCATTTCCATCCTTCAACAAATTCCAATCATCTTCACAAAGCAGATTGTGTTTTGATCCTGAATCAATCAGCATACTTATTTGTTTGCCACCTATAAAACACTGAATTATCTCAGCCGCAGATTCTCCTTCATTAAATATCTTAAAAAAATAGTCATCATTTGCTTTGGAGTTATTAGCATTCTCGTCTATCGATTGGCCATCAATATATCGTATTTTGTTAAAACCAAAATCCCGGCGCTTTGTATTTCTATTATCAAATGTTGAAAATTTTCGTTTGTCAGAAATTTTATTGATTTCGGCACCCGCGCTCATGTTTTGGGGATTTATTGATTGTGTCTGAGCATTAATTTGTTCATGGATTTGGCAAATTTCAATTACTTCTTTCAAGGTGTGCTCTTTTTCCAAAATCTTTTTTTTTTCAAATCAGCAGACGCCCAGGCGTCAATCAACTTATCTTTAATACTAATTTCCAAAATTTCTTCTTTTGTTGTTCCAAATACACACTTCGAAGCTTGTTGCCGTGTTCTCAACAAGAATTTATTAAAGGTTCCATCGCATTCTGCTTTCAAAGACCGAAATAGATGCCTCTCAAATGTGGAATTCCTCTCCGGCGAAAAATAATCAGTCAATTTGTGAACTAATATTTTGTAAGCATCTTCGTTTTCTGCACAAGCCAAGGCACCTGGAATGTTATACACAACGTCCTGCAATCGTGTTCCACCGTAATGCAAGTTTATTCTTTTTCTTGATCACATCTGTTATTTCTTCTGCATCAAGGTAAAATGTAAACAATCTGAGCCATTTTTCCCACTCAGTACGAATAAGTGACTTGTCAATCGTTTCGCACAGAAATGGCCTTATTCCATTTGTCTCATTCATGTTTGAAAACAATGTTATTGTTTCCTGGAACTGCCATTGCATTATATTCAACAACTTACGATTGATCGTATTGTACATTTGCTTGTACTTAATTTGCCCAACTGGCCCAGATCTTATTCCAACTTGGAACACAGATTTTTTTCCTCGCACCGCTTGTGCTTATTCTTATTTTAGTTCTTTAAACTAGAACGCAGAATTTGTTTGCCTAACTGGCAATCTGAAATTATAAACAAAATCATTCACATCAATTCAGATTTCTTTTCCGAAGAATTTCATCCAATTGTCTACCGCGTGCATTGTTTGTTTCCTTTCCTTCCCATATTTACCTCTTCGCCACTATAACAACCGCCTAAATAGCCAAATAAAACAATAACAATTAATTCAATATCGTTTACGTTTAATGACCAAACTATTTTGAATAGGAACATAAAACAATGCGATTGCATCAGAAAATCTAACAAATTATATATTTCAAAAGTGATGCCAGATCAACTTGTTCTGTTCGTGTGTTGCCACTCTGATAGCTATTCAGCGGGTTGCCACACTTATCATGCACGTTTAGTACGCTTTTTGGTTCATCCTCTCAACAGTGCATCCGGAATACTCATTTCAAATATCGGCCTGCCGATTACGTTGAGTACGAGTTGACTATGGGAGAGTGTTATTGAAGAGGATTTCTTGTCATATAATTGTCACCTACAAAAATACCGAGCTGCATTGGCACCTCAAATTTGTTTCCTAGCTCATGGCATTTTTCTTTTGATAAAAACCCATAGCATAATTTTAAAAACTTTATATGGTCATTATTGGCAGTTGCACCGTAAGAATGTACTATAAAGGAAACAATTATAAATTCTTGTAGGTTCTGGAACATATATACTATCGATATAGTTCTTGATATTTTATTCAAATAAATAATTACAACCTATGATAGTCCGCACATCTACAGTTAGTCAAGATATGTACCTATTTCTTTTTTTTAATTTTCACACATACTGTTTTTGACTTCTGCCAAATCACTGTATCTGAATGGCACGAGTCATTCTTCCCCTGTCAACTGAAAGTGTCAATAATGCGATCAATTACCAAAAAACATTGCATGTTCAGTTGTGACGAATTAATGCCGAAATACCGGCAACTGTCGCTATTGACAAATTTCAGTCGATTGCGGTGTCATGAACAGAGGCCCACCACCACCCGAACCAACCATACCAGAATTGTGGAATCATTAACAAGACACAGTAAATCGAGTGCGTGGATGAACACGCCGGCACTTAAAGCAAAAAAGTAGCCGCATTAGAGAAAAATAATAACAACGCAATACTCGTCCTACAAGCACCCGATTGCAATGCTATTCACAGAGATCCACACATACATGCATACGTACATATGAATATTTGCTTTCGTCAATAAATCTGCAATTTTGTTGTAAATGTAATTGAAATCGAAAGTGAAGCACATTTGCATAATTCAAATTAATGCGAACTAATCGCAAAAAATATACAGAAATCACCGCCCACTTGCCCCTGTCCTCCACATGGCTGTGAATACTTGCAATTGATTCAATATGTTGTGGTTTGTGGTCTGGCATAGAGGTTCTACCGGTCCACGATGATTTCGACTTTCCGCTGACAATGTCTTCGCCTGCCGCCAGTACCAGTGTCAGAAATTGGAGTAGAATTTCGTCACAAGCCAGATTCACTTGTTGGTGGGTAAACACAAACCAGTGCGGAGCAGTGCGTTGTCACTGCTAGTGCATCCTTTGCCGCACCGAACTCATGTAGGCTATGCGGTGGTTGATGGCGGTTGCCACCGGTGGGGTAAGTTAATCAGTTGGAGTAAACAGCAGCCTAGAAACGGCACTAACCAACAGCGTTGGATGTTGCAGAAAGAGAAAAGAAAACAGAACACCGGTACCGGTGCATTAGGCTCGTGCTCTAGACAATTCTGTTTAGCATAGCATGCATGCAACATACGCCTGTACTTTGGCCGCGTGTTCGTGTGTGTATGTGTGTGCACTTGTTGCCTCACCATAACAAATATGCTGTGGCACCGGATAAACGCTGACAACATGGACGCCTTCTTCATTGCATTTCCATGTGCCGAATAGGGGAGGTTCAAGCGATACCTCTCAATGGTTGACAGTATTCGGTATTAATATAAATATGCGCAGGATTTCGATTATTGAAGTATAAACATTTCAGCACTTGTTCTGTGAACATACAACACCTATTAACTCCAAATCCAGCGGGGAAATCTGCAGTCTCAGACCGACAAAGCCGAATTTACAATTTTTCTAATCAGAATATCAACACCAATCAACAAACACTAAATATGTTCGTTAAGGTATATATCGACAACGATCTGTCAAATTGTCCTGACATACATACACGATACGATTATGAATGTCATCGACATAATAAATATCTTTCTATGCATTTCAGACTGTCATCTGCTTAGTTGCCATTGCCCACATGGCTGTAGGTATTGAACTGAAAGCTGAACCCGATTATGGACCAGTCGCATATGAATTCCACTATTCTGTGCACGATCCCCACACCGGCGACATCAAGAGCCAAAAGGAGAGCCGCAAAGATGACAAAGTCGAAGGATCCTACGAACTGATCGATTCCGATGGACACCGCCGATTGGTCACCTACAAGTCAGATGCTCATAGCGGTTTCGAAGCAGTCGTTATTCGCGAACCAACCAATATCAAGATTCCAGTACCGGAACCAAGTCACAAAAGTTTGACAGGTGCCAAAATCATCACTCCTTTACATTTGACCGCAATTAAGCCTGCTCCATTGGTGCACTATGCCCCAAAGCCGGCGCTTTTGGTTAAGTCCGCCGAAGGACATGCTCCATCACATGGTAACTTTGTATCCTTCTCCGGACCCAATCACAAGTACAACTATTAGAATGACGTCCTGGGGGGCGTTGACATTTAACTAACTTTGCAAATCGATGACAACCACATTCGAAAACCATTGTTCCGGCTCATCACGCCATTACCATTCTGTATACCATCATCGACAACAACAAAAACGACATCTCTATTCATTCCACGCTATCGCCAACAGCCAAACGACCATCCAGTACACATCTACAATAGCATTCCAGATGTTTTTCCTTCTCTTACAAACTTCTATCCTGCATCCTCTTCTTCGACATCGAAAACATTTGCCACCAGTCTACAACCACACATATGCCTAGCGTACTGCTTATATATAAATCTTCTTATAATTTTGTTGTAATTTTATTTTAGACATTCAGGTTAACAACAATTAACTGTAAATAAAGAGTTGCAATGGAACTGCATCAACATATGAGCATGGTTCTATAGAAGAACGCACTTTCATTGAGTTTTATTGCATTCTATTGAATTAAGTGTTTGCGACGTTAGTATGTATGTATATGGGCTAAATTGCATATAGCCAGGTTATCTTTGCGCCCTGACCCCTTCAATATGTGTGTGCATTTTATTTTGACTCTCTTTAAGGGTCATCAGTGTCGCCGTTTCAAAAGACCGGTTCGGTCTTGCCTTTGCATCCAAATTTCTATTTGTTTAAATCTTTACTACATCAATGAATTATCACAAAAATTTTGAATACCTTTTTTATACCCTTCACCACACTGTGGTACAGGGTATTATGTCTTTGTGCATATGTTTGTAACAGACAAAAGGAAACGAGATAGACACATGGTTACATTTGAGAATATGCATAGAATCACTTTTTTAAGTCGATTTATGCATGCCCATCCGTCCGTCCGTCTGTCTATGTTGAATTGTAAACAAAGTATAGGTCGCATTTTTGATTCGAATTGGATGAAATCATTTATTTGGCCCAAAGACGAACCCTATAGAAATTGAGAAAAATCGGTTCAGATTTAGATATATTTGTATAACGTACTGAATTTAGCCTAGAAAATCGGTTTAGATTTGGATATATATATATATATATATAAATGGTGCGCAAAAGTCCCTATATATCCTTCGATTCGCACGAAATTTGGCATAGCGTACTGAATTAAGTCAAGAACGATGAGTGTTAAGATTCGTGAAATTCGGTTTAGATATAGCTCCCATATATATTTTCGTTCGATTTTACATAAATGGTGCACCAAACTCCTAATGTTTGTCTGATTAACACGAAATTTTGCACAACGTCTCAAATTGAGACTTGAATGACGTTTTTGCATTTTGTTGAAATTGGTGCAGATGTAGCCATAGTTTCCATATGTATTTCGAACGGGTGTCTGATTGAGATTCAATTGTTAACAGTGGGACGTCCCGAATATCGCGTATCAATTTAGCTATACATCGGTTTCCATAAATTTGTCCCATGGCCATATTAATAACAGCGGTTTTAAACGATTTTTTGACTTTTTAAAGGTTTATATTTACAAGAAAGAGAAAACGCAGATTTCCACAGTAGAAACCGGATATAACGAACAACGGTTATAAGCAACTACACATATAACGAACAAAGCTAATTCTTTCTCAGATATTTTCATTAGTTGTCTTTTACACAACAAACGGTTGAAAACGATTAGGGTAGTAATTTAAAAAAATGTCGACCTCGCGATTAGATTTTTAAAGCAATAATTATTGCAATGTCGTATGTTTTTGCAGAATGCATTAATAACTATTATTTCAGTACCCATTTATTCTCCTTAAGCTTATTCATATGTAAAAGTGAGATAAAACCATGCTTACTACAGTCGAACACGATTATAGTAAACACTGGATATACTGAACAAAATTTATTCATATGTCACTTTCTATTTTTAATCAATCCTGATCAATCAAGCCCGCCATTTCCTCTTCTCCTTTTTTCTCTTTGTTATCAAAATTCGAGTGTATCACGGAAAAGTTCTATCTTCCTATGACAGTAGGTCCATCTTGACAAATGCATGCAAAATAGCCTAATTTCCTCTTTTAATTTGACGCATTTTCGTCCATATTGTTTTTATTGCAAACCTTACTTGCTGTGACGTAGAAAACAACAATATGTTTCTTTGCTTTTATTTTATTCATCAAACAAAATATCGAATATTTCATTGTTTTTTATTCTGAAGTTCCCTACAAAAAACTGATATATCATGAAAAACGCAAAAAATCGCAATTTGAGACCTATTGGAATCAATTTAGAAGGCGTTCATTAATATATTTCGGTTGTCAAAAGATCAGACAAATTTAAACATTTTAGTAAAAGTCTTTCTGAAATGACTTATGTGTAAAAAATAAAGACATTTCTTTTATTATAGCGAACTATGTAATTTTTTGAATCGCTACACACACGTATTAACAAATATTAAAATGTAAATAAACAGTACACACCTCCGCCAATACTCTCCATGTTCAATGTTTATGCTTTGCATTCAGCGGTTTGAATCGCTTTAAAATACGCCATAATTTTTAAACAAATTTTATATCTTCAATTTTATTTTCAAAGTGTAGAGTTTGGCTACGATTTGCACCGCTTTTAAGACACTTGTATGCAAAAAATCTTACAGAATCATAATTTTTGACATGTTTTCTTTTTAATGCCATCAAAAAAGATGTAATTTTCCAAAATTGGAAAAATTACTTTTTGCCTAAAAAACAGTCCAAATTACGTATAGTGCATGGTACGTAGACGATTCTAAATCTGCCCGAATAAAAATAAATTTATCATAGGTTGCAGCAAGGCATGAGCTAGTTCCTTCGAGTGAACATTGACATGCAATTGTAAGGGTACATATGTACAAAATACCGAAAGTGGCGAAGGGTATCATATAGTCGACCCAGTCCGACTTTACTACTTTCCTTACTGTTTTTGTTTTTTTTGTTTTTGAATTTCTAATGATAGCATTGCAGAGCATTTTATTGCAGTTTGCTCGATTTAAAGAAAATAGATAAGCTTGCCGGTAGTCATCTCTTCATATAAAGATAACAGGGCAAGTTTGTCGGATACTTAAAGCAACCACATGAACAGACACAATAAGAAAAGTCTTCCGGCAAAATCGTTGATAACTATTTCTGAGTACTTTGTTGACTTCCCGAATTAAATTGTTAAGCGGGTGGGAACAGAGTTAAAGATCTTATCTATTTGCATTATATATATATGTATATATATATATTATTTTTTTTTGTAAAGCGCCAACATGCATATTTTCTTTTGGCGACAATTTGGCTCTGATAATTTTTATTATTTCCAGAATTGAGTCGGCATTCTGTTACGAATCAACAAAAATAAATATGTATGTACGAGTATGTTATTCCATTTGTTTGTATGCAATGCGGATGATTGGTGGGAATTTGCGAATAACCCATAACAGATGAAGAAAAAAAAGCGAAAATATAACAACACTAATCATTGTTTGTATTTTCATACTTATTTCTGTTTTCTTCATTTTTGTCTTTTCAAATTGAAAACGAATTGTCATCAATTTAAGTACTCAAATAGGCCATTCACCTACATATACACTTCCCCATATAAATATTTCTGTCACTGAACGGTTATTGAAGATGGCATGGAAATAGGTTAAGACTCATGGTACAATTATAAAAGGTAACAGCAAATCCCAGCTGATTTGATTCCAACGTAATACTAGTGCCAATATGAATTTGACAAATTATGTTTTTAAAAATCACCCAACAGGAACAGAAAATTGGGAACGCATACAATTTGAAATTGTTCTTTATTAAATGTGCTCCCGTATTCAATATACTCAATCTGCCTACCGGCAAAGTTTGAGGAAGCAAATCTTTCTTCGTGGAATAAATCGAAATTCCCTGCATTTTCATATGTGTTACACATATAAGTGGCATATAAGTGAAAGATGTGGAAGCGATAGAAATATAAATTTGATAGATTTTCATTCATGTTTTTCAATTTTTATTTTGAGAATTCGAAAAGATTTTATTTTCAAAATAAATATAATTTGTTTGTTTACATTTTTTGCTGTCAAAAGACGTTGACACTAGTATAACTTACAACAAACTTCCATATGGTTGTTGTATCGTTTGTTGTACAACAACACTTGCTGTTACCTTCTATTATTATACCATGGTTAAGACTATTGAGGTGTGAAGTGAATTTGCTTAGCCCTAGGATGATAGTACTGACACGGACATTTGTTGATTGTTATGGCTTTCAATAGAATTTTCGAATCAAAGATCAAGACAAATGGAATCAATGAAATCAAAAATAACCTTGTTGTACCTTACATTAACATACGCGTTATTGTTTTTAAATTCTGATCCGAAGATATCGCCTATTATATGATTCAAATTTGAAAGTTAATGGATGCTTTTGTAGCTATTATATTTTTGGCAACACTGAACTATAGGACTTTATTTCACATGTTTCTGAATGTCCGATTTGGGCCAAATATACAATGTTTTGTTATATGATTTGTAGCCATTCGATTTTATCGACATTTTCGACGACCGGCCTACTTGTGCGAGGTGCATCTTTAGCATCAAAAATTCCTGAACGGAATCTACGAAACCAAAATTGGCTGTTACAGTATCGGAACCATAAATACCATTCAGAATTTTAACCGCTTGGCTTGCATTTTCGCCTTTGTCAAAGGAAAACTATAAAATGTATCGAATTTTCTCTTTGTTCACTTCCATTTTTAATACCATGTAACTCACAACTGAATGCGCCAAAAAAAAAAAAACAGCAAAATATTTTTGTTTTTACTGCGAAATGTCACCCGACGAGCATAAAGTCATATATATATATATATATGGGCAATATTGCCAATTTTTTAATACTCAATTTTCAAAAAATCGGCTTTTTTGTTTTCGTGGTGCATCAATGATTTTTGGTGCACATACACCTAAGTCTGTTTTTGCACGGTAGATTGGTTCCAGAAGAAGCCGTGTAAAAAAGACATTGATCTTATACAAACTTATATAGCTAGT